ATACCATATAAAAACTTCACAAAAATTCAGTCTTTGGAAGAAACATTGTCATTTGTAACTGGTTGTGTTCACTCAGCCTGACGTCTAACTCCTGTTTTCTTAGGATCCAAACTCCTCTGCATTTACCTTTAACTTTTTGTTAGTATGTTTAACTTTCTTCATAAAAGTAATACATTTCATTTCTAAAAATTTAGAAATTAGGAGTGAGCAAAATGAATCTCCCTCTGTTGTTCATTTTGACCCTACAGACTGACACAAACCATTGTGTCAAAACCTCACTCACATAAGCCTCTCAACATGAATGCCCAGGGCCAGGGCACACTTGGCAGACCCTTCACATCTCAGTACTGTCCAGTGAATGTCAGCAACTGAGAGGCACTGCCAGACACCCATGTGCCTTTGGGATCCTCAAAGACAGGTTGAATAATATGAGTGCTTAACCAGGCATGGTGGCGCATGCCTGTGATACCAGCACTCAGGAGGCTGAGGCAGGAGGATCACCTCGAGTTCCAGGCCAGCCTTGGCTTCATAGTGGGTTCAAGGCCAGCTTGAACTACATAGTGAGACTCTGTCTCAAGAAAACAAAAAGAAAGTTCTTGATCCGAACTTTAGAATACATCAAATCCATTGGCAAATCTGTGGTGCTGTACTGTAAATGGCTATGCAGGTAGATAGAGGCCATTTCCCAAATCACTCTGGATGGGGGAGGATTTACCTATCACAGCAGGAGGGAGCAAGGGTGTTGCTGGAAGACACATAAATCCAGGTCCCCAGCAATGCCTTTAATTAGACTCACGCCAGGGAAGCGGCCAGGTCTTATTTCTATACCAAGAGGTGGATGTAATTTGCATGTTGAGCACTGTAATCAGGAACAAATGGCTTTTGACTGAATTAAACCGTCCTGTTCTCTCTCCTTTGCCTATGAGGTGTTGCCTCTGCACGCGTCACTGGCAGCCTCTGCCAACATCCTGACCAGCGCTGGAGGGCCTTGGATGGTGGAGGGCCCCGGCCCAGTCCCCAGCACCAAAGACAACACTAGAGAGAGAAGCCGGTGTCGGAGGTTGTAGAGCCTCTGGGAAGCTGAAGGGCAGGAGCAAATGGGCCTTAGTCAACTCCCTGAAGCAGACAGACCCGATGGTGGTCTGGGAAGCCTGGGAGAGGCTGAGGGGATGAGACACTGCTGGGCAGGAAAGGGCACCCACGTGGGCAGAATTGAGGGAGATGGTCCTGGCCATCCATGTGGGCAACTGGCACCTGCCCGCTGCACACTCCTGCGTGGCCTGCACAAGCCACGGCCCTTCCCTGGCTGCCCACCTGCCAGCAGTCACAGGTGCAGCCCATGGGGCAGGGGCTGGCAGTCCACAGAAAGGGAGACCCGAGGTCTCCCTGTGACCCCGCAGCCCCACAGCAGACAGCAAGCTGTGAGGGCACTGGCTCATCCACGCTGAAGAGTGAACGTGGCGGCGGCTGAGTAGTGACAGACTCGTGGATTCCCTCGAGTTGATCTCGTTTCAGGAACATGTTTCCATGAGTGTTAAATACAGAAAGTAAAACAGGGCGTTGGTGCCCTAATAAGTGCATAACTGCCACATGGACATATTCCAAGGGGTGTACACCAGGGTGTGTGTCTGCCAGTGATTACAGAAGCAACAGTAAAAAGCAGAAAGTCAGGGAGAAGGGCACAGTGCAGATGCCTGTCAATAGAAAACCAGTGGTGAAAAGTGAGAAGACGCATCTGCAAGAACTTACACAGATTTTCCCTCATGGCATTGCCTATAAAATACCAAATGGGGAACAGCTGTCCACTTAATCAGTGGACAGATACAGTTCAGTACTGTATATCCATAGGATGAAATACCATGCAAGGAGCAGAAGTAAACCACAACACAGCTGAGTGACAAGTCAGTCTCCTCTGGTAACTACTCCTGGAGTCTGAACCCTGGGCCATGTGGTGCTAGGAGCACCATGGAGCCACTCTCCCACACCCTTGAATTTCTGCAAAATGTCCAGAATGAGATCGGTCATTGATTGCCAGGGCTTATGGGATGGAGCATGGGATGTCTCTTACTGGAGTAATATATTATCAAGGTTTCTATCACTGTGACAAAATACTTATGATAAGTCAACTTACAGAGAGGAAAGGTTGATTCAGGCTCCTGGTTTCAGCTGGTCAGCTCTTGTTCACCTCACAATGCACAGATTAGGCAAATGAAGGATCAAGCGATACTGACAGCAGGAAAAAGAAAGTCTGGGAAAGGAATTATAGTCAGAGTACATTTTTTTTCCCCTTGAGACAGGGTCTTGATATGTAGCCCAAACTAGCCTCAAACTCCTGGCAGTGCTCGTGCCTCAGCTTTCCGAGTACTGGGATCATAGGCGTGTGTGCCACCAGGCACAGCATAGTGCACTTTTTGAATCAGCTTGAATAACTGTTCATACTTCTAGAGTTGTAAGTACAGGATAATGATAAGAAAGCAATGCAGGAAAATGTGACAAGAAATGTAAGCTAAGTGTGCTAGAGGTATGGCACACACCTGTAATCTCAGCACTTGGGGAGGCTAAGACAGGATGCCAAGTTAGAAACCAGCTGGGGCAACTTAGACCCTGTACGAAGTGGAAGCTGGGTTTAATCTTCACACGCTCTTCAGAGTAGTCAACAGAATGGAAAAATGGAAAAAATCTTATATTAGCAGTGTAAGTCTGATGCTTAGAAGACTAAAAAAAAAAAAAAAGATAAATATTAATACCAGAAAAAGTAACCAAAAGTACCAGAAAGAATTGAAAATGATTGCTTCAGAAATTGGGAGTGACCCTTTCTTGCCGGGCGTGGTGGCACACACCTGTGGTCCCAGCATCCAGGAGGCTGAGGCAGAAGGATCATTCTGAGTTGGAGACCAGCCTGGGCTACAAAGTGAGCTCAAGGCTGGCCTGAACTGCGTAGTGAGACCCTGTCTCAAAAAGATTAAAAAAAAAAAAAAAAAAAAGGAGTGAAGGCATAAGGTAAGGAACTATTGTTTTTAAAGTATGAAATTTAGTACAAAAAAAAATTTTTTTTTAGATCAGGTTCTTTGAGCTGGGTGTAGTGGTACACACCTGTGATCCCAGCACTCAGGAGGCTGAAGCAGGAGAATCCCCCCAAATTTGAGACCAGCCTGAGTTACATAATGAGTGCAATACCAGCCTGAACTACATAGTGAGAACCTGTCCCCCACAAACACACACACACACACACACACACACACACACACACACACACAAAACCACAAATTTTAAAAGACAGGTAAAGTTTGTTTAGTTGGTCTTGGTGGAGACTAAAGTCTGAGAAAGGACAATTGAGGGAAGACACCTGGAACCCTCAGGCTGGCTTTGCCTGGTTTGGTAACTGTTACTTCCTGAGCTGTCAGAGGCAGGGACATCTGGCAGAGCTCAAAGCAGGTGCAGCCTGCACCCTCCCCACCTGCTCTGCCCTTTTTTTTATTTGCTGTGCCTGCCAGCTCAAAGAGACCAGTGAGCTGCTGAGGCATACCACCTTTGCCTTTTCTCTTTCTGTGGGTGCCTGGGGTACTTTGGGGTCAGCTCCTGCTGTGCTGATCTGAATCTTCCCCACAGACCCCAGCCAAAAGACCTATTGCCTAGACTCAGTACGCAGCACCTGGAAAGTGTGGGGGCCTCATCTGCCCTCTTGGACTTTTCTGGGGGGCAGGATGGTGTCATCATTATGAAGTTGAGACTTAGTTGCTGTATGACCTTGAGCTTCAGCTTGCCCACTATAAAATAAGAGAACATCATAACACATAGGATTGTTGCAAGGATTTTAAAAGAAAAATGCAGACAGGCATGGTGGTGCATGGCTGTGATCCCAGCACACTGGGAGGCCGATGCAGGAAGAGTGCAAATTGGAGTCCACCCTGGGAAATTTAGCAACTTAGTGAAAACCTGCCTCAAAAATAAACAATAAAAAAGGGCTGGGAGGAACTGAGGACATGGCTCAGTGGTAGAGTTCTTGCCTTGCCTTCATAAGGCACTGGGTTCAATCCCCAGCACCACCAAAATGGGCAGGGCTGGGAATGTGGCTCAGGGCAAAAGCCCTGGTTTCAATTCTCAGTACAAAAACAATAATGCATGTTGGGTGTATGGTGCAGCTGCCGGCAGGGTGATCTCCTTTTACTTGGGCGTGGACTCCCCACCGTCACGCAGTCCTGGGGTCTCCAGGGTGATTTGGAGCCCCTGCTGGAGCTAGGCATCCTGACCTACTCCGAGCACCTCCGCTATTCTTTGCCCTCACCTCCAGTCTCCTCTTTCCATAGATCAGCTTTCACTTCAGCCTCTGGCCAACGGATCCAATCACTCTGGCTTTTGTCTGGGATCTCAGAACTGTGCCAGGAGGCAGTGGGAAACAGTGAGCTCGGTACCTGCCCTCCTTGAGAGACAGGCGGGGCCAGGCCATCTCTGACCTGCAGGAGAGTCTGACTTCTCAGAAAGGGCCCATCAGCGTGGGGGGGCAGGGCAAGGGCTGGGACTGTCCCACCCAGGAACTGCCCACCCTGGGAAGGTCGCACTGTCGGGAGGTGTGCTGTGCAGAGTATAGAAAGAGTTTGGAGCTAGTGTTTCCCCTTCCAGATGTTCCCATCACACGTTCTGTAAAGCAAAGCACTGACCCAAAATAACACTCGTGGTGTGATCTCATTTGTGTAAAAGAACACACACGTGTTTTTGCAAGCAGAGGGAACAAAGCAGTGGCTACAGTAAGTGCGTCTGGGAAAGCAGAGCCACGGAGGCCACCAGTAAGACAGCTTTTTCCCTGAACATTTCTGAGCTGAATGAAGACAATCAGCATGTCATTTTTACAATCCAAAGAACTAAAGCTGATTGCTTGTTTGTTTTTATTTGTGATGGGGTCTCGCTGTGTAGCCCAGGCTGGCCTCAAGTTCACAGTGAGACTCCTGCCTCAGCCTGTGGAGTGCTAGGATTGCAGGTGTGAGCCACATCATGCCCAGCTAAACAACTAAAGCTTGAGTACCCTGGAAGTTTCTCCAGGCCACTGAAGAGTCTGTGGGCTCTGCTGACACGTGTTGCTCCTGCAGATGTCCCTGGGTGGGCTAAGCTTAATGATGGACTCGAAGATCAGGAGCTGTCTCAAGAGCAATGGGGCATTTGATGGTGTCCATCTCACCTGAGGACGCGAGGAACCATAGCTCTAGCCACAGCTCTAGGAACTGATCGCAGGGATGGTGTGCCTATGCACGGCGCGAGACGCCAGGGTGGCCCCTGCTCGATGCTCCCCAAAGGCTGGAGACAACCTGAGTCCCAGCCAGGAAGGAAGTTATGTGAAAACTACCCGCTGACCCTATGCTGGAATTCTCAACAACGTGTGGAGGAAAGGAAATAGGTATGTGGCTATTTGCATGAGAAACGGGCCAGGATATATTGTAAAGCGCGGAGAGAAAAGGCAAGTAACCAAAACTGCACAGACAGCATGCTCTTTTCCATATAACGTGTATAAAGCGGCGCTGAAAGAGGTCCTAAGGACACGCGAGCCGCTGCGGGCAGGACGCGCCTGGGTGCGCGCGCGCGCCACCGTGAGGGATGCAGGTCTGCAGATCCGCAGCAGTGAGCTCCCTGTCGCATGAGGTCTGCAAGCGGAGGTGAGGCTGCCCCACCTGCAGGGACGCTGTAGGTTTCCCCGCAGCCCTCGGGATGACCGCAGTCCTGCGCGGCCCCCTGGGTCTCCACCGGGCTGAGGAGCGCTGCGCGCCCAGCAGGGAAAGGGTTAAGAGGCTGCGGTGGGCGGGCTTGGATCAGCTGCGCCGGGCTCAACTGGCCGCGCCTGAGCATCTTCGTGGATGCGGGCAGCGCAGGGACCAAGGTGAGGCCGGGCTGCGCGGCCAGGTGAGTGCCCCAGCCTGCAGCGCCCACCCCGCCTGGACACTGCGGGCCGGCGCGGAGCCAGGGCGGTGGCAGAGGTAACACGGCCAGTACAGCCGGCTCCTGCAGCAGCCGGGTCTGCCTGGGAACCCCGCCTGGGCGCAGGGTGGGGTGGGGGAGACATGCTCAGCGCTGAAGGCCCAGCGCAGCCTTTTCTCTCTGCACAGCTCCCTGGCTCCCTGTGCAGGAGCGGCTACCGCGGGCTACAGAACCGGAGTGTGGCCACCCATCGGGCTGTGTGACCTTGGGCGAGCTAATCAACCCCTCTGAACCTGAGTTTCCTTCCCTTGGGTACAGCCTGTGCTGGGTCTCCCCAGTCCACCTCAAGCCCCGAGGCTCACCACCAGGCCCAAACCTGGAGCCCAGGCCTGTCTATGGGCGGAGCAAAGCATGGGGGGGCTTGGTGAATGTTGGAGAAATGCATTAACAGACTCGAAGGCAGAACCAGAATCCAACTTTGGGGCTGAAGAGGTCTTTCAACTCCACAAAACTGTCCACAAGCTTTGCCAAGCCTGGCACTGTCCTGGGTCCTGAGTGTAGAGTTGGCTGCATTTCCCTGTGACCCACCCAGGGCCAGGAGCCAGGAGCCACAACAGCCTCCACACAGCCTCTGTGTCCTGGCCTGGCTGGAGCCTCCTCCCCGCTGGGCCATTCAGGGACAGTAACTTTTAGAGACCATCCACTGGGGCCACATAGGCCAGGGGCTGGAGTTAGAGAGAGGAGCAGGGGCAGAAGGACGATTACAGCGTGGGCAGGGTGAACAGTGCCCAGGAGGTCAGGAGAGAAGGACTTCCCAGAGGAGAAGGCACGTCTGTGCTGACCCGCCCACCGACTTACCTGAATAGGCACACTAGCCTCTCTCCCTTCCAGAACACTGGGCAGAACTGGTCGCACCCATGTCCCAGGTGCTGCAGTGACCAGCAAGTCACCTTTCAGTCAAGCCCTGCCTTCCTAATTGTCTGCTACTTTGTCCTTTGCTTGCTGTGCTCCAGCCACATTGTGGCTTTTGATTTATTTTGTAGTAATGGGGATTGAGCCCAGGTTGTGAGGAGCTACACCCCTAGACACTTTTTAATTTTTTGAGACAAGGTCTCACCAAGTTGTCTGGGCCGGCCTTGAACTTGTGATCCTCCTGAGTCAGCCTCCTGAGTCCTGGGATTACAGGTGTAGGCCACTGTCCCCAGAGTGTTCTTCGTTTGCTTGTTTGTTTATGTGTTTATTTACAGTACTGGTGCTTAAACGCAGGGTCCTCTCACTGAGCTACATCCAGCTCTTTCTCATTCAGCAGTTAGCCAAAATGTTCCCTCTGCAAGGACTTCCCTGCACATCCTATGTGAACTGGCTCTCATCCCTCCATCTCTTCACCTTGTTTTATTTTCTTCACAGCTTACCTTACCTAAAATTATTAGAACGCCAGCTCCCCAAGGGCCATCCCATCACTCTTGTCCACTGCTGACCCCTGGCCTTGCAAAAGGTACACGTGCAACTTCCTGTTGAGCACTGACAGTGACCAAGGAAACAGGAAGCACTCTGGATGGAGAGCGAGCGCTGCCATGCTGCCTAAGCACCTGTGAAGCCGGGCCCTTTCCTGCTTCATTGGTTAAGCCCCACAAGAAGGCCCTTGAGGTAGGCACTGATTTTGCAGAATGACAAAGCCATGACACAGAGAAGTAAGACAACTAACCCGGGAAATGCCCAAGCTGGGATGCCAGCACAGGCTTGTCTTCCAAGCCAGATGTCCATCCTCTTCCTCTCCCCCTTCTCCCAATAGAACTGGGCCTTTAGAAATGGGATGCCAGCAGGCGAGGGGAGAGGGAGTCTAAACTGAGGTGCAGCAGGAGCCTCAACCTGGGACCAGCACAGCCTGGCTACTGTTGGATAACTTCCCTAAGGGGCTGGGGGAAAGAAAGTAGAAGTCCCAGGAGCCCCAGCCCTCACCTGTCATCCCCTCTCTCCTGTCTTTCAGGCTCCTCCAGTGAGGGCTGGCACTCACAGGCTCCACACTGGGCACTGGAGTGGACCATGGCTCCCCTGCTCCTGCTGCTCTTGCTGCTGCCATCCCTGGGAGCCAGCTCCACCCTGAACAGGGGTCTTCCCAAGCCCCTTGAAGACACAGAACCCTACCTTATCCCTGTAGCCCATGATGAGGGTCCTGTGGACTCAGAACCACAAGCTTCTGGCTTCCAGTGGCAGAGCTACAGGCACTATGACAGCCCCCAGGCCCCTGCTGTGGGTGCCCAGAGGCCTGTAGGCTCGCCCCTGGGCCCAGCCCTGCCTGGGCCCCATGCAGCCCCAGGGGCTCCAGGAGCACAGCTCCCCATGAAGGACAACCTCCAGCTGGCTCACGGGCCCAGCTCCCAGGGCTGGATGGGGCCCCCTGATACCCAGGATCCTGGGGAGCAAGATGCACTCGCCCCCCTCCCAGGGGGCACCCCTCACCTCATGGTCACCCCCATACCTCCCAGCCTTCAAGTTGGGCCAACCACAGTGTCTCCTGCCCCCCAGGAGCCCCAAGGCCCAGCAGGGCGGCATCTACCTAGAGATAGGGATCGCAAGGCCAAACCCAAGAGCAGGGCCCCACAGCCTTCTCACTTGGACTCCCAGGGCCCTCGCCATACTATCATGCCCCATACAGGCTCTATTGGGGAACCAGTCCTGGGAGGACAGGGTGGGCATGCGGGCGACTTCCAGGAGGTAGCCCAAGGCCCCCAAGCCACACAAGATGACTCCACAGCCCCTGATGCCAGCTCCATCTCCCCCACTGACCCCAGTGCCCAGCCAGACCTGGCACCAGCCAGAAGCCTTCCTCCTGCAGAGCTCCCAAAGAAAGCTGGTGCTGGGGACACCTGGGATGTCAGCTCCCCAGGCCCCCAGCCCAAGCAGATGATCTTTCCTCAAGTCAAGGGTTCCCAAGGACCTCAGTCAACACCTGCTGCAGCCTCAGAGGCTCCGGATGGGCAGCTCAAGCCAGGTGGGCACCAGTGGGGTAGCGAGCCCGGCAGCCAAGTGCCCCAGTTCTGTGTGCCCTCGGGTCCCTCTTCCCTCATTCTGACAAAAGAGAGTGATCGTGTACCTCCCTCCTGCGGGAGTGAATTTGGGGTCAGGCAAAGTGGTGACACCTTTTGTCATTTCAGAGACAGCAGCGATGAATGGAGCAGACCCTATCTCCCCACAGCGGGTGAGAGGAGCAGTAGGGGCCCCAGGAACCTCCAAGTCTCTCGTCCCTGGCCTCTCAGACCCTGGCCTGGCCACAAATGGAACAGAGAGCCCTGTGAGGGTCCTGCAGCCAGGTGAGGGCACACCTGAGGGTTTGGGGAAAGGTGAGGCCTGTGTCCCATAGCCAGGAACCTGTGTGACATCTGTGTGAGGGGCCAGGGCCCAGGAGTAAATGGAGACGAGCCACCTGCTTAAAGGAACTGGCCAGGACCTCTGCGTCACTGAAGAGAAACAATAGGTTCACCAGCTGTTCTGGAAGAAGGCATAAGCCCTTTTGGGGCCAGAGTGTTCTTCTGTGTAACATGGCTGCGTCTGGTGCTGTGATTCTCCACCTATGGCAAATCACTGGAAAACCTTTATAAAATTTCAGCTGGGTGTGGGCGCACACCTGTAATCCCAGCATTTGGGAGGCTGAGGCAGGAGGATTGCTGTGAATTTGAGGCCAATTTGAGGCACATAATAAGTTCAAGGCCAGTCTGAACTACATAGTGAGACCTTGTCTCAAAAACAGACAAACAAGAAAAAAAAGACTTAGTCCTAACAGGGTGCTGATGTTGGGCACCATGTTAAACTGACTCCATGAGGCAGGTGCTGTTAGCTTCCTTTGACAGGTGTGCTTGGAAAAGTTAACACACAGTAACACTACAGAAAGCTGAGGAATCAAAAGCACTCTGCAAAGACTATTTTAATACTGTTGTTATTGCAGATGAAACTGAGGAATGGCCCGGGCGGCCCCAAAGCCATCCCCCAGCACCCCCAGTCCAGGCCCCATCAACATCTCGCCGAGGCCTCGTTCGAGTCACCACACAGCGAGCCCTGGGCCAGCCCCCGCCTCCGGAGCCCTCGGCCAGCTCCATGGCCTCCATCCCGGCTTCCAACCCCCCAGCAAATGCCACAGCACCCCCTCTGCGCTGGGGGCCCCTGCGGCGGGTACTGAGCTTTTCCTGGGAGCTGCACGTCTACGGGGTGGGGGTGCTCTTCCTGCTGCCGGCCATACTGGCCCTCGCCACGCTGGCCGCTGCCCTGGCGGGGCCCCGGCTCGCTCTGGCGGCCGCCGCGCTGGTGCTCCTGGCTTCTGGGCTACGCTCTGTGTACATGCTCACTGACCCTTACGGCTCGCAGGCGCGGCTGGGCTTGCGAGCCGGCCTGGTGCTCTACAACCTGCCCTTCCCCTTGCTGCTCACGGCCCTGGCGGCCCTGACCCTGCTCGGCCTGGGAGCTGGGCTACCGCCACCGCTGCAGAAGCCGCTGCTGCTGGGGGCCTTGGCGCTGTTGCATGGCGCCGGGCTGCTCGCCGCAGACCTGCTGTCCGCGCGGCCCGCGCTCAACCTCCTGGTGCAGGGCCTGTCGTGCACCTGGGGCGCGTCCGTTGCCCTGGGCACACTCTGCCTTTGTCGGCGCCGCCTGCTGGACGCGCCAGGCGGCTGGGATGCCAGCCCAGGCCCGCGCCTGCTGGCGGTGGCGGGCTCGCTGGGGCTGCTGGCCAGCGGCCTGCAGCTGGCGGCCTCGCTCTGGCTGTACCCGGGCCCCGGCCGGGTGGGCCGCTTCTCGTGGGCCTGGTGGGGCGTGCACTTCTGGCTGCGCCTGCTGGAGCTGACCTGGGCGCTGACGCTGGCACTGTCCGCTGTGGCCGCTGCACGCCCACAGCCACCCACCGAGCACGCCTGCTGGGCGAAACTGTTGCGCCTGGCGTGCCCTGCGCCTCCCGGCAAGAGTGAGGTGCCCGAGCGCCCCAACAACTGCTACGCGGGGCCCAGCGGCCTCAGCCAGGGCGGGCTGGATATCAGCAAGAGCCTCATTCGCAACTCGGCGGAGGGGGGCCCGCCCGCCACGCCCAGCTCGGGTGCCTGGGGCTCGGCGGCGTCTCTGGGCCGTGGCCCTCCAGGTGGCCCTGGACTGTCCCGCAGCAGCGTAGGGCGGGCGCCGTCGCTGAGCGAGCTGGACCTGCGGCCACCGTCGCCTATCAACCTGAGTAGGAGCATCGACGCCGCGCTCTTCCGGGAGCACCTGGTGCGGGACAGCGTGTTCCGGCGCTGCGGCCTGCGCGGTCTGGTCTCCCCGCCACCCGGGGGCACGCTGCGGGCTCGCCGGGTCAGCCACCCGGACGCCGAGCCCGACCTGGGGTGCGCGCTGCTCCTCGCCCGCTGCCACTCGCTCAGCGATGTGCGCGGCCCGAGGTCACAGCGCGCGACCGATGAGGCCGGCCAGGTGGCGGCCTCCGGAAGCTCCCTGGACAGCTTCTCCCGGGGCTCGCTCAAGATCAGTTGGAACCCGTGGAGGCACGGTCTGTCGTCAGTGGACAGTCTGCCGCTGGAGGAGCTGCCCAGCACGGTGCAGCTCCTGCCCGCCCCGGCCCCGGCCCCGGCCCCAACTCTGCCCCAGCCAGGGGAGCCCCGACCCGAGGTCCCGCCGCGCGGCAAAGCCGGGGACTCCCGCAGCGCGTCCAGCGACACCATCGAGCTTTGAGCGGTCCACTGGGTGCGGCCGCCAAGACAGCGGAGCTTTACACACCGGCAACTGCGACCGGAGACAGCCAGGTGGAACCTGCACTCCAGCTTTTGTTTTTTAAAATATCTCTATTTTTTTCAGCAGGTATTTTGCACAAAGGCCGTGACTTACACTAAGTACAGGGTGGCGGGCATGGATCTGTGCATGGGGAACAGGGAACACACACACGACTTTCCAGTGTGAAGGAAGAAGCCATGCTTGTCCAGACTGTCCTCTTTGTGCCAAGAAATAAACCCCTAAGGTTTGGCTCCAGCCTCCCTCCCACTGCCGGGAGGCCCTTCCCTTGGGATGCAGGCCTGTGTGGGGAGGGCCCTCGCAGAGAAAAGCGCTGCAGGCTTTGGTAACTGCAGCTACCAGGGTTTGGTAATTTCTCAGCCCACTTCATTCACTCCTCACCTACCCTGGGGTGGAAAGAGACCCTCCATGTTAGGAGTCACAGTTCAGAGATGGAGGTCACCTGCCCAGGGTCCTCCAGCAAATGACAAGTGGGACTGACTGCAGAAGATGTCCACTCCTGAACTGTCCCTCTGTGCCCCTTCCAACACTCCTTCAGGGTCCGTCTTCCCTCCTCAGGTAGCTGCGATTTTCCCAGGGTTTTAGAAAACTTCCCCAAAGTGGTAGTGATGGAGGGAGGGTAGTAAGACAGAAGCTTCTCCATTTTCCAGAACTTTATTTCCTGAGATGAATAAATAAGTCAATGACTAAAGGAACAGATGAATACAGAAGCCGGCAGCATGCAGCTGGCAGGAGAGGGCAGTGGTAGCCTGCTCCTGCAGGGATCCTTCTCATCCTGGGCAGGGGCCAAGACTCACTCAAAGCCACCAAAGGAGGAAGAGTTTCAAAATTCACACACTGTGGCCTATCCAGTCCCCCACAGCAAAGATTTGGTGGCATCCATCTTCCAGGCTCTCTCACGCCTGGGGGCCACATATGCCCAGGCCTGGTGCTGAGCTGCACTATAGGTGGGCAGGCTGTGTCACCCCACCCCCAGGACAAACCAGGTGGCCCTGAGTGTCCAGCAGGAGAGACACCGACCTCAGGCCAGCCTGGGAGGGAGAACCCAAGTGTGGAGAGGAGGATATTATCTGCCCTTGATGAAGCCCTCCAGGACGCGGTCGCTGCGCTCCGACAGCCAGTAGCCAGTCATGGCCGCCACAGCCCCAATGAAGATGGCGGTGAACACCAAGTCACCCTTGGCAGCGAGTGTGGCCAGCGCACAGATGATGACGCCAAAGAACATCTGCTGCAGCACCACCAGCTCGTCCTCCGTCATCTCCGAGAAGAAGCCTGCTGACTCTGTGAGGAGGAGGTGGGCTCTCACTCCCAGCCCTTCCCACACAGCCGGTACAAGCCTGGTGCGGCAGGCATACAGCAAGAGAGGGGTGAAGGGCACGGGACCTGTGTGACGGGCAGGTCGGGTGGGTGCGTGCAGCCTGTGGGCCAGCTCCAGAGCCAGAGGCCGACTGTGAATGCCAGCTCTGCGCCCTGCTGCCATGCAACCCTGGGAAATGCCTTGGCCTATCTGCATCTTTGTTTCCACATATGGAAAACAGAGCATGCACAAGAGTCCCTGCGGGGCTGGATTTTCAGTGTGCTGGCAGGTGACAGATGGAATGCACTTGGGACAGAATATAGCACGCAAGAAGAGCGATGGACATGGTCTGGCCTTCACTGAACCCTTCATCTCACCACACCCATGGCCTACAAAGGCTCTCAGGGATCAGGGCAAGGATGGTGCCCACTGGAGAGGAGGCAACAGCAGACCTAGGGAGGCTCAGCGACCCCTTTCTGTCCTGGGAGTGAGGCTGCCAACAGCAGAACTGGGGAGCAGACTCTGGTCCTCTACAGCCTCCAGGCACTGGGTAGCTGTCACTGCTGCTGCCACCCAGAGAAGGGGCTCAGTGCCCCCGCCAGAGGAGGAGCTCCCTGCTCACCTGGGATCTGCTCCTTCACGCAGACGCCTTCGACCTGCTTGTAGCCCTCAGCGCAGACGCAGCGGTAGGCACCTTCGGTGTTCTTGCACTTCTCATTCTCTCCTGGACACACCACTGTCTCACACTCATCCACATCTAGGGAAGGGCAAGTTAGGGGTAGGGTCAGCACCCCAACCCCTCTTACTCACTGCACCCTGCCAAGGACCACCATTCCACCCTTCCTCCCCTGCCTGGCCGCGCCTCCACCCTTCAGCTGGAGAGTAGACTCACCTAGACACTTGGAGCCCACCTGCTGGTAGCCAGGGCTGCACTTCTTGCAGCGGCCTGGCCCTGCCCCCATGCAGCCCAGACAGGCCTTGGCGCAGTCTAGGAAAAGGAGACACAAGGTGGGAGCCACCCATGGCGGGCAGCCCTGCTCCAGAGAGCAGGTCCTGGGCTCCAGAGCCTGAGGGGTAGCACTCTGCAGGGACAGGCACGGAGCCACCACATGCCCTCTGTAGGAGCAGACACTGACCTCGGCACTCATAGGCACCTTCTGTGTTCACGCAGAACTGGTCAGCTCCGCAGCTGGCTCGCTCGGTGCCACACTCGTCGATGTCTGAAGCAAGCAGGGAAGGGTGGGAATTTCAGTCCCCACTGAACTAGCAAGGAAGCCAGGGCCAGGAGGCTGCAAGCCAGGGACCAGCCTCCAGCCTCCCTGCAGCTGTGTGTGGACTGGGCTTGGCCCACAGACATGACCAGAAGCAGTGTGCTCTTGGCCTTGATCCCCTCTGACCCCGCCGAATCCCAAGACTCCACATTGATCTTGGTGACAATGTCCAAAAGGATGACTGTGTGGGAAGAGAGACAGTCCCTGAGCGACTGTGACAAACAGCCCTGGCAGGACTATGGTCCAAGAAAAAAATAAACCTCTGTTCTCTATGTCACTGTCTTTTAAGGACATCTCTGTCATGGCAGCTTAGCCTTTGCCCTGGTCTGTGCAAGTACAGGCAAGGACCCCATCTCCAGACCCACATTCCTTGGGCGAATCCTCCTCACTGCCACCTCAGGGAGTGGCAGCCAGGCCATCGGGCCCATGCCTGCTGCCCAGCGGCTGGGCTGTGCACCAGGTAGTGGTACATGGCAGTGAGGCCACTCACCCACACACTTGAGGTGATGCAGGGCCCAGCCCTTCCTGCACTGCAAACAGTGTGACTCCTCTGGTCCTGAGCAGCGGGCACAGGGGCCGAAACAGGCTGCGTGGGACAGGACAGTATAAGGACGGGCAGCAGGTGCCCCTTCTGCCCCTCCCAGCACCAGACTTGCCAGCTACCTACCCAAACATACCAGATGGCTGGCGTTGCGTTCTGCCTCAAAGTAGCCAAGGCCACACTGGCCACAGGCCTCGCCTCCATAGCCGGCTTGGCAGTCACAGTGCCCACTGCCCCCTCGGGTCCCTTCCCCTTGGCACTGCCCGTAGCCACCACAGGGTTTCTCTGTGCCTCCCGGACAGGCTGCAGGTAGACACCAAACTGGGTGAGTTCACATATAAAACACTGACAAACAACAGAAAATGTTCTATGTACTGTTCAACATATCTGCAAAGCAAGATTAATTTTAGCTGGGTAAGTGGTGCACACCTGTAATCCCAGCACCCTGAGAGGCTAAGACAGGAGGATCATGAGTTCAAGCCCAGCCTGGTCAACTTAGCAAAACATTGTTTTAAAACTTAAAAAAGGGCCAGCGACCTAGCTCAGCAGCACAGTGCCTACCTGGCAAGTGCAAGGCCCTGAGTTCGATTCCCAGTACCAAAAAAGAAAAATAATTAATTAACTAAAAATTTAAAAATAAAAAATTAATGGGTCTGGGATGCAGTTCAATGTGAAGGCCCTGGGTTCAATCCCCAATACAGAAACCAATCAAGCCATCAATCAGTAACTCATAAAGGCTGGAGATATAGCTCAAGGCACTGAGTTCTATTTCCAGCACCATCACCAAAAAAAAAAAAAAAAACCACTTATTTTGTCACTTAATATCCTAACGCAGATCCAATTAGGTTGTTTAAAAATTGCCTGTGTGTGTGTATGTGTTGTCGGGGCTTGAATCCAGGGCCTCAACAATCACTCTACCGCTGAGCTATACTCCACCCCAAATCTTTCTTTCATAGACTGAATTGACCATCTTAGTAGTTAACCCTTTATCTGTAGCTGCAGGAAAAACTTTCATAAAAGGAGTAAGTCCAGCTCCTGTGTCAGGGTTGCAGGTAGAGGGTGACTGACTGTGTGGGCTTCAGGCAGTCCCCACCCCTCCACATGAAGGAAAGAGCCTGGGAACCAAGGTGGCCCGGGAGGCAGCGCCTCCTTTAACAGACAATAATAACCACACTGGGCAGCCCAGTAGCACTTTCAAAGCCTTTCTCCACTTACCTGCCCCAGGATGCAGGTGAGAGCTGAGGCCAAGAGAAGCCAGCCAAGGAGTGCCAGAACTGGACCTCTGGACCTCTGGTCTCAGTGTCCCGCCCACCCCCAAGAGGGCTGGAAAAACTCACGAAGGCAGGAGGGTCCAAAGGTGCCAGCAGGGCAGCAGAGCTTCAGGGAGTCCGAGCAGAGCCACTGGGAGAGGTCAGGGGCTTCCTGCTGCCTGAGGCAGGGGCAGGTCAGGTAACAGGGAGAGGCAATGACTTGGTTCATAGATGCTGCACACCCCACCTCCTACAGAATCTGCCATTCAGCCCATCTTTTTTTTGACACAGGGTCTCACTGTGTAGTTCAGGTTGGCCTTGGACTCACTGTGTAGCCCAGGCTGGCCTTGAACTTTTGGCGATCCTCCTGCCTCAGCCTTCCTGAGTGCTGGGATTACAGGCGTGTGCCACCAGGCCCAGCCAGTTTGGCCCATCTTGAACCTAAGTCCCAGAGGGCCACCTCACCAACATCCTTTGCCCATCTGGCAGAAAGGTAAACAGGCTCAGAGTGAGAGTTTAGGTACCCCACAAAGTCCTCAGAAGTTCTGGGTTTTGAAAGCACCCAACCAGGCTCTGGCCCCCTGTACAACCCTGTTTCTTGCCAAGCTGAGGCCACAGCCTGTTCCCAGAAAGGCCCCTTGCCACTCACTTGTGAAACCACCAGCTCTCCACCAGCTCCTCACTCAGCTCCAGCAGGCGGTGGCACTGGAAGTCTGACTTGCTGCACACCCCTTCCAGCACCTCCACCAGGCGGGTCTCGCTGAACAAACAGCAGGGCTGGTGAGAATGTGCTCCCCCCACTCCATCTCCTCAGATCTCTCTCCACCCTTCCTCAGGCCCGTGACAAAACCACAGGAGAAGCCACAGTCCCCATCTGGGACTCTCACACACCTGGATTCAAATCTAGCTGTGTAAACTTGGGCAAGTCACTACACCTCTCTGAAACACGTTTCTTCATCTATAAAATGGGGAGAAGGCCTCTTGTGCAAATTTGTTGAATGATACTGCAGTTTCAGCTGGGCACGGTGACCCACACCTGTAATCCCAGCACAGGGGAGGCTGAAGCAGGAAGATCTCTGAGTTCAAGGCCAGCCTGGGCCCAACAGTGAATTCAAGGCCAGCCTGAACTACATAGAAAGACTCTGTCTCAAAACAAAACAAAACAAAACACAACACCCACAAAAGATACTGCAGTTCCCGAATCTAAACAAGAACACACCCTTACTGGGTAGATAGGATTAAAAATATATCCCAAAGGGCTTGGGGCACAGCTAGGTTATACTGTTTGCCTGACATGCATGAGGCCCTGGGTTCAGTCTCCAGCCCCACCAAACACACACGCACACACGCACATCACAAAACAAGTGCTGGCAATGAGCCAGAAAAACTGGACCCTTAGGAAGCCTTATATTTACACTGCAAGTAGAATGCAAAATGGTGCGACCACCGTGGAAACACAGCTTCTTGGTACATGATGCATGCAAATATGACTCAGCAGCGCCACTACTGGGTATATGCCCAAAAGAATGGGGAGTAGGTTTCCAAGCAGAAACACTGCACACAGATGTGCGTAGCAACAATATTTACAACAGCCAAAGGGAGAAATAACCCTGGGGTCCCCTCAACTGATGAATATTTAAATAACACGTGGTACATCCATTCAATGGGATATTATTTACCTATAAAAAGGAGTGAAGTAGACAGGCACAGTAGTGCATGCTGGTAAACCCAGGTATTCAGGAGGCTGAGGCAGAAGGACTGCAAATTCAAAACTGGCCTCATCAACTTAGTGAGACTCTATCTCAAAATAAAAAGAAAACAGAGCTAGAAATGTAGCTCAGTGGCATAGTGCTTGCCTAGTGCGTGCCAAGGCCTAGGTACAATCCCCAGTATTGAAAAAACAAACAAAACTACATAGTGAGAGCTGGGTATGGTGGCCCATGCCTGTAAACTCAGCACTGGGGAGGCTGAGGCACGAGGATCGTTGCAAGTTCAAGACCAGCCTAGACTACAAAGTGAATTCAAGGCCAGCATGAACTACACAGCAAGACCCTGTGTCAAAAAGACAAAAAAAAAAAAAAAAAAAAAAAAAAAAAAAAAAAAAAAAACTACACAGTGAGCCAAGTGTGGTGGCACACAGCTGTAATCCCAGTACTCTGCAGGCAGTGTCAGGAAGAGTGCTGTGAGTTCCAGGCCAGCCTGGGCTACATAGAGAATTCAAGCCCAGCCTAAACTAGCAAGTGAAATACTGTCTCAAAAAAACCGAAAAAACCAAAAATCCTTCCAGCAGCTCCCCATCACACAGAGGACAAAGTCTAAACTCCTGGCTGGAGTCCTCATACCCAACACACTTCACTCACTCTACTCCAGCCACTTTTGAGACCCACCAAGCTCAACCAAACCCTCTCCCAAATTCTTTCCCACCATTACACCGCTGTGTCCGAACCTCAGGCCTCTGTTCACAGGCCACATTGAACCCTTTGCCTCCTACCCAGTGGCTTTCTTTATGGTTCTTCAGGGACAGAACACCATGCATTCATCAGTTATCTCTGATACGACTAAATGTCACAAAGATAGGTTTGCTTCTTGTTTGCTGACATACTACAGAGGTCTAGGGACGGCTGCTGAGTGCTCCCCAGAAGCCCCAGCCCAGCACCAGCTGAGCAAAACCAGAAGGTGGGATATACACCTCTCTACAGTCTCCTTACCTGTCTTTGTATTTGGATAATTTCTCTTCCTCCCAAGCAGTGTTTCCACCTCCAAAGTTGTCCCGGATGGTTCTCTCCAGCCCCTGTCCGTAGAGTAAAGTAGTAATAGCGGTGTACAGTGCCTGGCACACTGCAGCACCTCATTATGCTACTGACTAGGAAACCGGGACACAGACGGGCAACCAGCCCACATCCACACAGCCGGCCAGCAGCCAAGACGGGCTTAGATTCACGCATATTCGCATCCCTTTAGTGTCTGGAGCCGGGCCCTCCCGCCAGGCACTAAGGCACCCACCTTGTTGAAGCTGTCCACCAGCGCTCGGCACGTATGGCAAGCGTGGGGCTCGGGCGGGGGAGGAGAATGGGGCGGTGGAGAGGGCTGCAGCCACACGGGGCCTGGGAGGCTGAGGAAGAGGTTCAGGCCCCAGAGCAGAGCTGAAACTAAGCCCCTCGGGCACTGTGGGGCCATGTTTTCCCAGGCTGAGGACCTGCGGACACAGGACGTGGGAGGGCTCACTGGAGGAACCAGGCTCCAGGTGCGAAAGGGGAGCGCAGGCCCGCAGAACTGCCAATGAAGGCGGGGCGGGAGTGGGGTGGGAAAAAGATCTACGATTCCACAGGAGAAGTTAACCCCGTTACCGTGGGGGCGGTGGCCTGCAGGGGCAGGGGTCAGCCCATTGTTTTAGCGTCTCAATAATTTATCAGGAGCCAGGTCAGCGGAATTTGGGAGAGGGGGTCAGATCCCAAATTTTGGGAGAGAAGAGGCTAGATGGCGTTCTTGGGGGGAGGAGTCCGAAAACCCGGTCTGGGAGAAGCGCGGATCCGGATTTGTAGAGAAGGGGTCGGGCTCCGAGCCTCACAGGCAACAAAGGGACGGCCCAGGAGCCCGCAGGGGAGGATCCATACCCGCGCAGACCGCGGCGGAGGAAAACAGGCCCGCCCCAGCCCCCGGGCGCCGTCTGCCGTCTCCTCCGCGCCGCCGCCGCTTGCGCAGAACGTACAACCTCCGACCGCTCCGCAGTCTGGGGGCTGGGCCTGCCTTCCAGCCAATGGGAGAGGGCCATGTGCCGATGCATCACCCCCACATCAGCCAACCAGAGGCAGCGCCGAGCGGCACCTGTTCCAGCTTTAAAGGGGCGCGGGCAGGAGAAGGGGACGCGGCTGCCCTGGCAGCCGCCGCGCCGCAGGGGTCAGACGCGGACACGCGCGTAGAAAACCAGTTCTGCTTTATTCAAGTCCCGCCCCCGGCCCCGGGCCCATCCCGAGCGGTGGGGGCCGGAAGCAGCTGTCCAAGACTGGTCGGAGGGCGCGGGCCACCTGCTCCGCGCTGTCCTCTAGCCGTCCGGGGCGTGCAGCGCGCGCCCCCTGCAGGGCGTCCAGGAAGCCGCGCAGCTGCGAGGGCAGGGAGAAGAGGGGCACGGCGCGGAAGGGCGCGGGCACGGCGTCCGGAGCCAGCAAGCCGTCGAAGCAGGCGGCCACATAGCGGCCCGGTGCCCGGCCCTGCAGGAAGTCGGGCAGCACGCAGCTGAGCGAGGCGGCGAAGGCGTCGTGCGGGCCGTGCGCTCCCGGCGCCGGCGGCTCGCCCTGCAGCCACTCCCGGCACAGCGCCACGGCGCCGGGCGAGAAGAGCAGCACCACCACGCCGCGCTCCTGCAGGGTCTGCCGCCGCCGCGCATGCAGCCAGGCTAGCGGGCCCTGCGCGCTCAGCTCACGCCGGCTCCAGAGGTCCACGGCCACGCGCAGCGGCAGCCGGCTCAGCGCCGACGCCAGCGCGCCCACCAGGCGCTCGAAGGCCGCATCATCCGCCGAATAGAGTAGCAGGGCCGCGCGGGCCCCGTCGGCAGCTGCTGGAGAGAGCAGAGCAGAGGGCGGGCGTAGGGGGACCACCGGCTCCAGGGGCCTCAGCCACGCAGGCGAGAGAGGGCGGGCAGCCTGGGAGCTGGCGCCCCTGGGCCTGCGGAGGGGACAGTCCGGTGCTCACCTTTCCCGTGGTCCTTCCGGAGGAAGAGCAGGAGGAGAAGCGCAGCAGCGAGGAGGAGGCAGGCCAGCCATACCAGTGCCCAGCGCCTGTGGACGTCTGCGAGCCCGGAGGAGGAAGACAGGCTGTTAGGACCGCTGCACTTCACCCCACTTCAGAGGAGAAAGGCTGAGGCTCACAAAGGAGCGATTTGCCCGAAATCCACGGCACAGAGCGTCAGACTGTGTCTGAACACATGTGACTTGGGATAAGCGACTTCTGCCTCGGTTTTCACATCTGTAACATTGGAGTGACACTACTACCTACATTAACTGCTGAACACTGTCCCAAGAGTCCCAGGTGCTCAACTCTCAGCTAGTATTCTCCGTAGGCCTGAGACTGCCTTGACTCTGGTGTGTCAGATTACTCAATAGCCTCCCAACTGCTATCCCTGGCCTTTTTTCCCCACTCCAGTCTATTCACAATTCTGGCAGCTGCAAAGATCTTAAAATGCAAGTTTTATTATAACCCTTCAGGAACTCTATGGCAGTGCATGGTGGCACATGCCCCTAATTTCAGCTACTGGGGAGGAGGTCACAAATTCAAGGCCCGTTTAGGCAATTTAAGGAGACTGTATCTCAAAAAGGGCGGGGGACATAGCTCGGTGATGGAGCACGTGCTTGGTGTGCAAGAGGGCCTGCATTTGGTTTCCAGTATCACCACAAAAAAAGGCATCTCTGCGCAGCCCTTCACCTAGCTTATCTTTCAGAGTACAGCTAGAAACTCCAGAGTGCACTGGTCCACATTTACAGCACCAAACCCTTTTAGAGTGCTGCGAGAGGTCATGTTATTGCTAGTCCACACTCAGTAAATGTAACTGGTTATTTGGCTTATGTGCTTTTGGCCTTCTGTTGGTGGGGTAGCATTCTATTTTTTCTGTGATCTGGGGTCCCATCAAGCTCTCATGTTTTGAATGAATTATGGAATGACCCGAGTCATTGGCCTCCAAAGAAGGACAAAGCTATTGCACGTGTGTCCTCTGCACCCCCAAGAATGGTACTGTCAAGATAACAACTCCTGGGCTGGGCGTGGTGGCACACACCTGTAATCCCAGCACTCAGGAGGCTAAGGTAGGAGGATCACTGTGCGTTCAGGGCCAACCTGGGCTACAAAGTGACTTCAAGGCCAGCCTGCATTGTGCACCCTTTCTCAAAAAGACCAGGGGAAAAAAAAAAAGATTCTAACTCTTATACGTGGAGGAAGGGCAGCTTTCACAATACTTACACTTGTCCACCGGGCAGGCCCACAATGCTCCTAGGTCACCATCCCACAACTGTAAGACACAAGCCCCGAGTTCTGAGCCAGCCTGAGCTCCAGATTCTTAGCCCCAACTATGAATACGTCCCACACCATGGAGGATTACTTCAAAGTGCTTGCCCTGATTGAGTTGTGTCTACTTGTAGGGGCCATTACTGTGCCCACAAGGGGTAGGGATTTAACTCAGTAGAGGCACAGGCTTAGCATGCTCCAGGCCCTGGGTTTGAACCCAGGCCCCATAAGCAAACAAACAGATTCAAAGGAAGAAATCCTGTTTTGTTGTTTTAAATTTGTTTTTGTTTTTTGAGATAGCATCTCTCTATGTGGTTCAGGCTGGCTTTGAACTCACTATGTAACCCAGGCTGGCCTCGAACTCGGTGACCCCTGCCTCGGCCTCCCGAGTGCTGGGATTGCATGCCGGCACGGCAGGAGCGCTTTCCTTGATGCTCTCTTTGGAACCAACTGCACTTGTGAGTGTGGCTGTGCACTGGTCTAGCCAGCAGTGAGCTCTGTGGGCACAAGAGCTGTGCTTCCTTTCCTCCCTCAGGGCTGGACATGCATAGGCCTAGCAGTAGGTGAGTGCTAGTTTAGACATACTGTTCTTGGTAGTGGGCAGGGACCTCCTCCCAGCTACTTACCTGCAGACAATGGCCTGCATGTAGGTCTCGAAGCAACTGCTCTCCAAGGCGAGCTGCCTTCTGCCAAGCCAAGGGGTGCGGGCTGTCACCTGGGGTAGACTGCCAGACTGCAGTTGGGGGAAGGGCTGGGAGACTCAAGTGGCTACTGGATAGGGCCTAGGTTTGAGTTGCACACACACACACACACACACACACACACACACACATACACACACACACCATCCCCAGAGACCAGCACAGGACCTAGCACAGAGTAGGGGAAATTGGATGGAGTGCAGATGAGAGGCCAGGTTTGAGATGGAGCTGGAGAGGTCTGTGGGAGAAGGTCTGCCCCTCACCGTGGCAGCCCTGCTGGGCAGTGGAGTACAGCCGCTGGGTTCCAAGGCACAGAGTGATCTGTTATCCTTCTGGCCTTGGGTCTCCACCAGAAGTACATCATCCTTGAGGGGCCCCAGTGAGCCTGGGAGGAGTGAGAAGGCACTCTTAGCCTGCCCCGGCCTTGCTGCAAACTGCCACAGGCCTCTCCCACGCCCTGACTCAGCCCCCAAGCCAGCCCTCCAGGGAGCACCCCTACTACAGTGGGCCCTGACTCACCAGACCACAAGCACTCCTGAAGCTGTACCTTCTCCCAGCTGCGTACCTGTCCAGAAGGGCCCGAGAAAAAGGAAGCACTAGACTTGAAAGGCCAGAAAAGAAGGGGCAGGCGAAGGGAAGCCCTTTGGGTAGGGAATCTGGACCCAGGGCTTCATGATCAGGAGCCATTCCATCGTCCTCTGTCTTAAAGTGAGTGCCTCTAAGGTCTTTTTTTTTAAGTTCTTAAAGCATTTACAGCATTCCCAATTCATCAACCACCTTCCCAAAGAGGCAAGTCCCTTCTCCCCAACCACCCCACTTAAAACCACAATCCTAGTCCTCCCTAGCCCCTCCATCTTTCCTGGAGTGTTTGTATACAATGAAAGCAGACTCTTTAATTTGCTTACTATGGAATGTTATTTGCCTTTCTCCATTAGAACATAGGTTCTCTGAAGACAGAGACATTTGTTCACCTACAGACCACAACTACCTAAAACAGTGCCTGGCACAAAGTAGATGCTAAATATTGAGTGAATGATTTTATTTATTTATTTTTGTCTTTTTGAGACAGGGTCTCACTATATAGTTCAGGCTGGCCTTGAGTTCATTGTGTAGACCAGGCTGCCCTCAAAATCTCAATGACCCTCCTGCCTCAACCTCTCATGTGTTGGGATTACAGATATGCGCCACCATGCCCAGCTAAGTGAATGATTTTATAATCTATGATGTTACAACCTGTTCCACAGGTGGGAAAATAAGCTAGTGATAACAGTGATCAAAGCAGCTAACATTTATAGTATTTAGTCTGTGCCTGTCCCAGAGGCAAGCACTTCTCTCATTCCTCTTCACTCCAAGAAGTATCTATTATCATCTCCTTGAGACATATCCCAGAGGTGTTGTGACTCCCCTAGGCGTTGCACTACTAAATGTAGTGGAACTCTCAAGAGGCAGCTGCTAAGCATTATGCCCTGGGGCCCAAGAATAAAGAGGGTGCAAAGCTGTGACTCAAGTGGGGGGTCTTGTGGCCTCCTGCCCTGGGCCCAGCACTCTGCACCCCCTTCTGACCTGGACACAGAGGTTGGGGTGGCCTTTCAGCACAGGAAACTCGATGGCCTTCTGTGGAAAGCAGGGAGTGGTGAAGTCGTAAAAAGGCAGCGTGGGTGCCCTCCCTCTCCCCGCTCTGTGCCGCCCTCCGCCTGGCTTACATTCACAGTGACATTCTCCAGGGGCAGCGGTGGGATCAGGGGCTGGCAGGGGTCCCCGCCTGGTGACTGCCAGCACAGCGTCACCTCTGCAGGCAAGGAGCATGGTGCATCCAGCCACCAGCTCCTGGGTGACAGCAGCCGCAGGCGGGCTGCTCTCCACAGGTTCCTGTGTGCTCGAGGGTCTGTGGCAGAAGACGAGGGTCACATGCAGCCAGCTGTTGCCCACATGTGCAACCCCCAACCATTGTTAGGCAATCTGCTCACCTTCCTTGAAGGGGCAGATGCTGGTCCTGACTGGGTCGGGCTCCAGGGGCCACACCTGGAAAGAAAAGGGCTCTGCTTGGGTCAGTTCAACACAGCCAGCCTCCCTCCATAAGCAAGCACTAGTCCAGACAGGCACCCAGGACACTGCATTCAGCTCACAGTGTGAAGGCACTGGACAGGGCCTAGGTCTGAGTTGCCTAGGTCTTGGTCACTGGGCCTGGCTCTTTACAAAGCTCTAGTGCTGCAAAAATGTATTCTTTCAGCAAACACAACACCCAGCACAGACAACATCTTCAACAGACCTTAAATGAGTGTTTGCTGTGCCTTAGCAGTAAGGGAGGCATGTTAGATGATGGGTGACACTTCATCCATAATCACCTTATGAGTATCTCATATGTGCTGGGTGCTAAGGACCTATTCATTTATTCTTTCAACACACTTTTTATGTGCATGTATATGTGTGTGTGGTACTAGGGACTGAACCCAGGGCCTCACACAACTACATCAACAGCCCTTTTAAAAGTTTTTTTTCCTTTAGTTTTTAAATTACCCAAGCTGGGCTAGAAGTTTTGATCCTCCACAGACTGCTGAAATACAGGTCTGTATTACCACAACAGACTTTTTAAGGCAGTAATCTAGCACTTGGGAAACTGAGGCAGGAGGATCACACGTTCAAGCCCAGCCTGGGCAACTTAAATGTGGGGGCTCTAAGTGAGACCCTAAATAAAAAAATAAAAAAGGGCCTGGGATGGAAATATAGCTCAGTGAGGGCCCTGGGTTTAATCCTCAGTGCGGAGGAGGAGGAAGGGGAGGGAGAAAGGAGAAGAAGCATTAGCTGTCCAAATGTGAAAGGCAGTATACATGAGCAAGGAAGGACAGAAGAAAAGAACAAGGGAGAGGGTCCGGGGATATAGCTGGCCTGTCTGGCAAGCACAAGGTCCTGAGTTCGATTCCCAGTACCAAAAAAAATAAAAAAAGAACACGGGAACAACGCAAGTGCAAGGGGGTTAGGAGAAGACAGCTGACAGGAGCTTTGGGAAAGAGGTAGCCTGGAGCTGGGCAGGCCTGGTTGTTTGGAAAGGGGTGAGGGCAGTTCCCAGAGTGGTAATTGCCTGAGCAAAACTGCCTGAGGCACAGCGGTGGGTGAGCCTTGATCCTCAAAAGGGGCATCTTGGGGAGAAGACAGTGGGAAAGGTTCAGCTGGGGACAGAGTATGGGGCCCAACAGTCCAGGGAAGCAATGGCAAGGGAGATGGGGCCAGAGGTTATTGAAAAAAATAAAGGAGAGGTGACAGTGTCCCAGTGGAGAGGAGGGAGACAGACTGAGAGCCATCAATGTCAGAGATCGACAACAGGCCCGGTGACCAAGCAAGCAGTGGAAGGAAAGGGAATAGCAATGTTTTTAAGCCTGGATGGGGCACACTTCTTTACAGCAGCCTTGTGAGGCTGGGCCAGCCTATTCCTAGTTATAGATAGGAAATAAGCTTGGAGAGGTAGTCCAGCAAATGGCAAGAGCAAACATGATGCCAGCCACCCCAGGGAGCTCAACAGAGTACAGAGGACCAGAAGACAGGAAGGCCACCCCTTGCCACCCCTCCCCGTCCTTTTCCCCTGGCTACCAGCTGTGCTCTGCTCCTACCTGAATACAGAGGCAAGGAACCAGGTCTGTGTGGTTCAAGATAATTGTCTGTGGCCCAGTCTGTGGGACAAGCAGAAGAGGGAGGTTGAAGATAAGGAAGAGGAAACAGGGGAGGCAGAGGAAATGGCAGGCAGAGCCTCCACCAGGGTTCCCCTGTTCTGGGTGTGTGTCCTTCAAGGGTCTCTTTTGATCCTAGAATGGAGAGCAGCCTAGAGCACAAATGGATCTGGGGATGGGAGGGAGCAGCCTCACCAGGTTTCTGTGCAACCAGCGTTTTAGGGGTCCCTGGACCTGATTCCAGTACAGTAAGAGGCCAAAATGCTGCTCCTCGGAGACGTTGAGCACAAGCCGAACATTGTCGCCGTCTGCAGTCACGTTGAGCCAGGGCAGGACTGGTCGGGGAGGCACAGAGAGGGGACGGCTTACACTTCATCTCTTCTACTCAGCAGCCTGGGCTGTGCTCGCAAATTTCCCTCACTCATGTAGACTAGGGGCCCTTGAGGGCCGAGGCTATGTCCCCACCCAGACAAGACTGTCCTGGCCACAGGCCAAGAGCCTGCCTGGCCCAGAGAGCTCCTGGCATTTGGTCTTGAGATAGCTCTTCTCCCTCCCCTCCCTTGCTGCCAGCAGTTAGTAAAACAAGCCACTCTCTATCTCTCAGAACCCTCTTATCCTGTCTTCCCAGTAAAAACTACCGTCCTTAAGACAGCTGGCAAGGCCTTACCCAACCTAGCACTATGACCTCTCAATAACCTGTCTCCTAGCACCTTAATGACTCTCAGTAATCAGCGCCCTTAATTACTCTGCTGCAGACCTTTCTTACTGCTCCTTGCTCACATTCCCACCTAGCACCTCGGTGATGGCTGTGCTCTCTGCAGGGACCCCTTCTGGCTCAGTGCTCACACAGCTCCTCCCTCAGGAGAAGGAGGCAGTCCCACTGCTGCATTGCCCAATCTTGCCCTCCCTCTTCCTTAGATCTTTCTCTGCATCACTAATCACCATCCAATTTCCTGTATGCATCACATCTGCCTGCATTTATCACGTCCTTCCTCAGCCTGACCCTGACCTGACTCCCAGCTCCATAAAGACAAAAGTCTTGTCAGTTTTGTTTATTGATTCACTCTAGCTATGCCTGGTGCAGTGTAATCCCTCAGTACATATGTCTTGAATAAGTAAAGCAATGTCTACTGAGTGAAGGAGGAAATGAAATCCATCTGTGTATCTATGATTTAAAGCTCTGGTGCTGCCAGGCATGGTAGCGCACACCTGTAATCCCAGCACTCAGAAGGCTGAGGCAGGATTGCAGCAAGTTTGAGGCCAGCTTGGGTTACATAGTGAGTCCAGGGGCAGTCTGAACTGTACAACAAGACCCTGTCTCAAAAAAAAAAAAAAAAAAAAGCTCTGGTGCTGAGTAGTCCCCCACCCCCACTCCCGTGGAACCCAGGGCCTTTGTACAAGAGCTATATTCCCATCTTTTTTATTTTGAGACAGGGTCTTGCTAAATTGCCTAGGCTGAGCTCAGATTTTTGATCCTTCTGCCTCAGACTCCCAGTGCTAGGATTACAGGCTTGTGCTACAATGCTGGACTCTGAGTAGTATTTTAGTGGGTTGAGACCAAAAAGAAAATGGAGTTGAAAGAAATTAATAATTTTTTAAAAAACAATGTTTATATCTTGGTATCAGTGATGTATGTTTATTTATGTGCAAACTAACTGAATCAGATATTAGGTCAATGCACTCACGTACTTTCTGCATGTATGTTATACACATAGAATAAATAAAAAACAAAAGTAAAATCCAAGTAGTGTACAGGAGAAAAACCCAAACTTTGACTTTCTTAGCCTTTATTTCAGGTTTAATTTTATTCTGATAGATGGAAGAGGGCACCATAATCATGAGGGTGCTTTGGCCTGTATATGTCCCTGGTATAAATAAATACTTGTTATAAGGGGAGATTCACCTTTTTACTTCCAGTGCCAACCACAGAATAGCAACTTCTGCACTTCATGTATTATGAATGAATGGACAAATGCGCTCTGTGAGCTTCCAGGGCCTGGTAGCCCAGATCTAAAACTAACTCTATCCTAACCCTAACTCTAATTTAAGACCTGCCCTCCCTCCCCCCAACCCGCTGGCCCTAGCCCCTACCCCAGCAGCTCTGGATGCTGTCCCGGACTTCGAGCCCCCTGCAGTCTGGGGAGAGATCACAGAAATGCCTCCAGTGGGCCTGGGCACCAAAGAAAGAAGGGGGAATCCAATGCATAAAGGTCCTTGTCCCCAAGGGACCACCCACATCCATTCAGTCACAAAATAAGGCATGCTGGGGAAGCCATGTCACCTGGGGAGAGGGGGCCCAAGGCACTGACTTGGGAGGAGGCAGCTTAGTCCCCTCGAAGTGGACGGGATAGAAGGAGGGTGAAAGCAGGAGGGAGGGGTGGGAGGGACAGAGACCACACCCGCTCCTGGGACCCCTGAGGCTCTGGGGCACTTACCAGGCAGCTGCTGTGTGAGGTTGAGTTCCTTCTGGTACCTCGGCTGAGTGTAGGACCAGATTCGAACCTCGGTCCCCAGAGCAGCCTCGAAGCAATCAAACACTAGAGAGCCCTGTAAGAGAGGGTGGAGTGAGCCTCAGAATCAGCCAGGGTGTGGGCTCCTCTGCATGGACCCCCCCTGCTCTCTGGCCCTCCTCCCATCAATGACGGTTCATACTGGATGGCCTGTGATTACACCACTTGACTCCCTCCAGCACCCCAGGTCCACAGCAAACATCCTCTGTAAGTGTCTGAGTCCTTGCCCCAACCCTGCTGTTTGGGGTACCCTGGCCAAGACTGAGGTGAAACACCCCAACACGAATGCAGGGGCCCTTCCCCAGAATTGTCCCACCCCAGTGCCTCAGTGCCCCTGAGGACTGCCTTAGCAAGTGGCTAAGCAGTTCTTCCAGGGGACAGCTGGCTAGCTTAGTACAGAGCGGGGGCTGGAGGGGACATCAAAGGCCCTGTGCCATCCGGCCCCAGCAGAGCCAGAACTTCCAGCTGTATAGGCCTCCCTGTACCAGGGTCTGCATCATGAAATGTGGGATTTGTCTTTTAAGTCTGAGAGCATCACAAGCCATCCCTCCAAGCTTCAGTTTTACTATCTGTTTTGTCTTTTTGTGACAGGGTCTCACTATGCAGTTCAGGCCAGCCTTGAGGTCACTTTGTAGCCCAGGCTGGTCTCAAACTCGCAAGGATCCTCCTGCCTCAGCTTCCCAAGTGCTGAGATTACAGGCATGCCCCTCCATACCTGGCAGACTTTTTGTTTCTTTTGTGGCACTGGGGACTCAACCCAGAGATGCTCTACCACTGAGTCCCAGCTCTTCTTAGTTTTTATTTTAAGAACAGGTTTTGCTAACATTGCCCACTCTGGCCTAGAATTTTAATTCTCCTGCTTTAGCCTCCAGAGTATATGGGATTACAGGCATGTGCCATTGAGCCTGGCTCTTGTTTTTTGTTTTTTTGGTTTTTTTTATCCTTAGCTTGTTATTGAAGGTCACCCTTGATGACAGTCTGGAAGGCACATCTACGTCAGCTGAGAAGGGAGTGGTAGGGGACACAAATACAAAAACACTAAGATTCAGAAAAATAATAGCTTTACATGAGATAGATGACCCCTACAGTTGCACAGCAAACATCAGTTATTTATCTATTTAAACTGCCCCTCTCCCACCGCCCCTTAAAGATCCACTGATCTTCAAATAATATAATATGCTGTTATAGAAGTACTGTACCACTGGCATAGACAATTCCTCTTGCAAAGACAGTAGGAGCTACCAGAGCTCTAGAGGGCTGGAAGAGGCCATAAAAATGTGCCTAGCCTCTTCCCTCTGAGGCCTGCTGCTACACCTTCAGGGAGGCTAGGGTTGGCTTTTTTTTTTAAGTGGTCAAAAATTTTTAACAGATGTTTCGTAAAGGAAGTTATACAAATAGTAAGCCTGTGAAAAGGTGCTCTGACTGCATCAGTCTTGAGGAATGTACAACTAAGAATCATGATATGGGCTGGGGGTTTAGCTCATGGGTAGAGCACTTGCCCGAGGCAGGGGGGGTCCTGTTTCCATCCCCAGCACCACAAAAAACAAACAAACAAACCCACATAGTGATATATCACTCTATACATAGTGGAATGGCTAAACTTTAAAATTATAATACCAAGTGTTAGCAAAGATGGGAAGCAACTAGAATTCCAATGCTCTGCAAGTAGAAGTGTAAAATAGTAGAAACTTCCTTGGAAAAAAACCTGTTTAATAGTTTCTCACAAAGTCAAACATAAGTGGGAGAACTAATTCTTAGTCCCATTTTACAGACGGAAAAACTGAGTAACAAAGGGCTAAAAGGTCTTGCCTGTTGCTGTGATTAGAACCAGAACTTAAAGAGAGAATGCATGTGAAAGTGATGTCTAGACCTCATGTCTAGAAGGTGCTTAGTGTTAATTTCACATACCACGGGCTGGCCAGGCTGCACCTGGGCAGCAGGTACTTGCACCTCCAGCAGGACGCAGCGGGTAGTGGGGTAGGACTGGAAGGAGAGCAGGACTTGGGCCTGGAGAGAGGCTGAGAGCAACAGGCAGGGGTTAGAGCCAGCGGCCATGGGCCAGCCCTGTGCACAACAGTGGGGCCATGGCTGTTCTCACCATTCCTGGGCTCCTTCAGCTCTAGTTCAGCTGCTCCTCCTGACTTCTCATCTTTAGGCTCTTCCCAGCGCCCTGAAAGGACGGGAGAGTAAGACCCAGGTCAGGCCCTGCTCTGGACTGGTTTAGAGCTTGGCTTCCTTCCAGACAGCCCAGGGGTGGGAAGCAGGGACCAGGCCTGCAGACACTGTTGGCCTGCAGGTCCTTGGGCCAGTGCCCTGAGGTAAGGATGCCCAGTGCTGCCTGCCTCACACCCTGGTCCTCATGCCTGCCTGATGCACTGCCACACACACATGCACAGTCACAGGATGACTCACTCACCGTGCACAGCCAAGTGGACAGTCACACGCACACAGAGATCACAGCTGGTCTCCTGGCGGCACCGCAGCACCAGCTCTGTCTGCAGGTATGTGGGCACCAGCACGGGGCCTGGGGCAGACTCGATGCTCCCTGGGAGGCAGAGCACATCACCAGCTGTGAATGGATGAAGAGTGGGGGGAGCTGAAGCTGTCTGGAGCCCAGTGCGGTTACACCTGATACCCCAGACAGCCAAGGAGCCTGGCTCTTCCTGGGCTGCTGAGGCGGGCAGGGCAGGCCTGGGGCGAGGATGGCTCCTCATCCTGGGAAGTTTTGTTGTCAATGAAAGGGATGATACCTACCCCTGAGCTGGCAGGAGAGGCCCTGGAAGGAGGAAAGGATAGTCAGTTCAAGTTTAAGCACCTTCCTCTGCCCAAAACCTGCCTATCTCTTGCTGGGGTTCCCTCATCCAAGCTCCTCCCATAGCAGCAGATCAGCTCCTGCCCCCTCCCCTGCTTCATCGTTGCCTGACACCAGACAGACCAGCCCGGGCAGTTCTGGTGGTGACAGGAGTGAAGAAACCAGACCAAGGCTCTGATGGGCCTCATTCGGAAGCTTGAGTCCTCCCCAGCCCTCCCCAGGCCCCAGACTCACTGGAGAGCAGCGGGCAGCATCCTGAGGCCCCACAGTCCTCTCCAGAGAGATGACCACGGGGTTTCGGCCCAGTGCCAAAGACAGCAGGAACCAGGGCACAGGCATCTTCCAGGTGCCAGGCAGCACCCAGGCCTGCAGCCCTGTCCTGCCCCCCCAATGGGGGGGGCAGACGCCTCCCACCTGCCCTCACTCAGCCCTGGGCCTGTGGGTTGCAGGGGGCTAGAATTCCTCTCCAGCCTTCCCGGCCTGGTGCCGTCCGGAAGAGCTCAGCACTCCCACTCCTGGAGCCCGACTCCCCGTCCAGTTCCAGCCAAGTGCTTTCGGTTTGGCTCCCAGCAGGCAGCCGCTGTTCCCGCCCCGCCCTGTCCCTCCCTCCAATACCAGGCCCGGGAGCCAGCAGTCCAGGACTGGGGTGGTGTCTTCTCCCCACTGCTGACACCTGGCTGGGAGGAGCCCTGGGGAGGGCAGCACAGCTTCATGGCTGAGGGAGCTGTTGATACCACAGTCCCAAAGAAGGACTCCCATTGCGGGTACCTCAGGGCCTGGACAGTTCTGGAATATTTCTGTTTCCCACGTGACCATTATACAGGAGCCCAGCCAGTTCCCTCTCAGTGGACACCCAGGGTTCCTTCAGACACTTTCCTGGCCTCGATGTCAGGGTCAAAGGGCACCAGAAAGTGGGCTTTTCACCACTGCCTGGCCTAGACTCAGCGTGGTATGGGGGTCGGAACCCAGGACACAGAGTCAGGTGGACTGAGGTTCCTTGTGCCATTGCCACAGCTGGGTGAATGAGGATGGACATCCTCCTAGCCAGGTCTGTTTTTCCTCTCTCCTCTTGGAAGAATCACAGTGAGGATCCAGGGTGCCTCTCCTCCTTTGCCTTTTCCAGGCATTCTGTGGGAGAGCAAGGGACACCGGGCAGGTGCACACAGGGGGCAGGTGGGGGGATGTGGGCTCACAGGCTGACACAAACAGCGCCCAGGCGGCCTGCACAGATCCTCCCGGACTGGTGCTGCGTGGGGGCCACACTAGAGAAGCACACCATGTTCCTCCATTTATCACCTTTATTGTCTTTCTGGATCTCTGTCTTTTGCCCCATTCCCCTTTGTCTGGGCCACCCTGCGCCAAAACTTCTTCCCTAGTCGAGTCCTTCCTCTTTCTCCAATGTGGGCAGGGCCTGGGTCTGGGAAACCAGAACCTTGGCCCCCAAGGGGGTTTCTCACCCGGCTGCTGCTTTCCCAACCCTGCCAGGACTCTCCAGCCTCCAGCGGGACTAAAGCCATGGCGACTGCTGTCCTTTAGGAGCTCTGGGGAGAGGACGGGGCGGGGCGGGGGGGGGGAGGTGCGCCGCACCAAGGGACATCTCTCTCCGGTCGCGGCGGCATCAGGTATGAGGAAGCTGTACAGCAGGGCCTGGTGGGCCTCCTGAGCTGGGAAGCCGACAAGAAGGCTTTTCCCAGCAGTCCTCAGGGGCGCCTTGAGGACTCAGATTAGAGGGCTCAAGCTGGGGCTCCAGCCAATGCCTCTACGGCGGTGGCCAGAGTCCTGAGGGACCGCGGCGGGGCTCTGCGGGGCCTCGGCGGGCAAGCTGGGCCTCGAGCTCCAGGCGGCGGCACAGCTCCAGGCGGCCCCGTAGGCCGCGCCGGGCCCTGGGGCGGCCCCCGAGGGTGGCCGCGGGGCAAGGTCGCTCGCCCAGCGCTCGCAGCAGGCGCTGCCAGTCTCGCAGCAGGCGGTAGCGCGGCAGGGCGCGCAGGGGCCGGGGGATGTCGCCCTTGGCACAGAGGCGGCTAAAGTAAACCAGCAGCAGCGGGCGTGGAGCCGCGCAGAGCAGGGCGCGCAGGGGGTCCGGCTCGCTGGCCTGGCTGCGGCCCATGCCGCTCCACAGCAGCAGCACGGTGCCACGTTCCCGTGCCACGCGTGCCCGCGCCGCCCAGAGCCAGGGCAGCGGGCCCACGCGCGCCACGCGCGCGCCCTCCCACAGGTCCACGATCACGTCGCGCCCGCCGCCCAGCGCGGCCCGCAGCAGCTCGGCCAGCGCTCCCACCAGGCGCCGCTGAGCCTCCGAGTCCGCGGCATGGAGGAGCAGCACTGGCCGCGCGCGGTTAGGGCCTGGGGGTGGAGCGATGCCTGAGCTGGGAGAAGGGGCGACCCAGCCCGTCCTCTTCCCTCCCTGTCCCTCTCCGCACCTATGGGTCATACCAAAGCAGCCTGAGGGTGTTCGGTGCTTGGGGCTAATTAAAGGCGCCTCTTTCGAACAACCAAGGGAGAGTCAGGGCTCGAGGTTTGGCAAGCGCAGCACAGAGACTACGGGCAGAACCCTCGGCACTGCCTAACCATTCCTGCCCACTAGGGGGCTGAGGGCCACCCTCCTCAGAGGACGGAGACCTGGGGGAGTCGCAGGGGACAGGGGAGCAGGGGAGGCCCCCTAGACGAGGAGTGGACAGGTCTGAGTCCCTGGCTACCCTCGGGGCATGCTTACCTGGCAGCAGCTGCCGACAGGGGAGGACCAGAACAACAATCAGGAGGGTGGAGAGGCCCAGCAGCGCCAGGGTCAAGAGCCCTAGGCGTCTTCGAGGGGCTGAAACAAGCAGCATGAAGCCAAGCCCCGCTCTTAAGTGGCCAACGTCCCCCTCACCCCTGGCCCAGGAACTCACCCTCCAGACACAAGAGGCGCTTCCTGGCAAACTGGACGTCGGATCTCCACACCTGAGAGCACAGAGCCCCGCCCTGGTGAGCATAGCATCCCCTCCTTCCAGGGCACCTCCAAGTAAGCTTGGGGTAAGGTGGGGCTCCCCACTGGCTAGGGAATTTCTCAGGCTGTGTCTGGTCCAGTTCTAGGCCTGGCACAAAGCAGGTCAAGGGCGGAAATGCAAGTGTGAGGAGACCAGACACAGTATGTAAACTGACAAAATTGGCCCAGGTGCCCCGGAGGACCTGGAGAGAACAGGGCAGCTGAAACAAACAGTACCACTGGGCTCCAGGCCACTGTCTTCATGTCCCAGTGGGCACAGAGCACCAGGTTTTCTCATTTATCAGGAGAAGCCAGAAAGACAGCTAAAAAAAAAAAAAAAAAAATGCTGGGCATGGTGCACACCTGTAATCCTAGCACTGAGGAAGCTGAGGTAATAGGATCACAAGACTTCAAGGCCAGCCTACAGGACACAGTGAGACTGTCTCAAAAAAAAGTTTGAGCCCAGCCTGAGCAATTTAATGACTCAGCAAGACCCTCTCTCAGAATTTTAAAAAATAAAACAATGGCTGAGGATGTAGTTTAGGGGAAAGGCTCTGGGTTCAATCTCCAGTACTAAAAAAATAAATGAAAATAGCCCTATGCTGGCCAACTAGACTTTTTGCAGAGTGCATTTTCCATGTGTGCCACCTACAGAGTAGGCACTGTGGAGTACACGTGGAGGAGGCCAGGCTCCTTACCAGGACACAGCCCCCTGGCCTCAGGAAGGGGATGATGAGGTCCACTGTCACTGGGCCTGGGTCCTTGGTCTGAAGGAATGAAGAGCCAAATGACCACTCTCAACAGAGGCACTCTGGCTGTGTCCAGCCTGTATTTTCACCGTGCTGGTCCTTGCCGTCCTGCCCCCTGCCTACCCCCATGCCACTCAGGCTGGGGCCACATGTCAGCAGGACAAGACTTCCAGCACTCTAGCCCCCACAGATCTTTGGCAGGTGTCAGCATCTGCTGCAGCTGAGACAGCGCACACCGCATGTGCTCTGAAACCTGCTCTGTGCCAAGTCCTGGCAAAGGCTAGCAGAGACCCAGCCTGCAGCCTTCAGCAGCTCACAAACCAGGGGGCCAACTCTGTCTGTCCTCTTTAGTCCCAGCACCTCTGAGTGTGCGTTTTTCGAGTCCCGACTCTGGTCCCCTTCCCAGGGGCATCCCGTCCCCTGCGAAGATGAGCTGTGCAGTGGGGAGACATCGTCCAGGCCTGGCTATTGCCTCACAGGTCTCTTTGTGTAGAGATGGGTTACCTCTCTCTCTCAGCCTCACTTCTTCATTTGTGGGTGGGGGGACAACAATCTGTATTTTAGAGCGCTGATGAGAATAGCCATCAGGAGTACACTGCAGTGTATGTGCATTTTAGTAGTAGCTGTTATTAGGCTGTGAACCACTCGGGGGGCAGAGACTGTGTCACACTCTTCTATCTTTTCCAGGAGGCCCTGGGAGGCCCTGTGTTACAGGGTAGGCACAGAGTAGAGACTCAATAAACGCATGCCAAATTGGACAGAATTAACTGTTCTCTGTCTCAGCTGGAACGTGGTTCCACGCTGTGTTCTGATGCTTGTTAGAGGGTGGGCCATTCTCCATCCTTTAGGACCACCCTCCTCACCCTGCCCCGTGCCCCACACCTGAGTGGGGCCTCACTTTCCAACCAGCTATGAGCAGACACTAATATAGTGGCTCATAATCATGACTGAATTCAGTGAGGCTAGTCTTTCCCCAGCTCACAGAAGCAGATGGGTCAGTAGATGTAGGTCTCAGTTTTAGATTATTGCACATGACTTGGTCTTAAATTTTTTTTTTTTTTGTCTTTTTTAGACAGGGTCTCTATGCAGACCAAACAGGCTGGTCTTGGTCTTAAACCTTAAATTTTTGCTACCACCAGCCTGCTTGTCAGCCCCTTAGGATATAAAACAACCAAGCTGCATGTGAGCGTTTAAGAAAGAACTAGAAAAAGCTAGTCATCCTTAGGTGGTGCTATGGTTTTGTGGGTATATTTAATCTTTTTTTTTTTTTTTTTTTTTTTGAGATAAGGTTTTACAATGTAGTTCAAGCTGGCCTTGAATTCGCAGCAATCCTCCTGCCTCAGTCTCCCAAGTGCTAGGACTTCAGGTGTGCACTACCATGTCTGGCTTTGTTTTTTGTTTTGTTTTTATCTCAGATGCACAGAAGAGAATCTACTAGTCAACTGTTCTTTGTCCACATAATGCAGTTAAATGTCTTTACAGTACTGTACTGAGAGCACTTCAGCTTCTAGGGACTCTTGATTTTTTTTCTCAATGTTGGGAATTGAACCCAGGACTTGAGGCATGCTAGACAAGTGCTCCCCATCCCCATCCCGAGGTGTTCCCTTTTGAGAGCATCAGAGAACTTCTGCACCGGTGCTTGTGGAGGCAGGAGAGTGTGTAGAGGATAGCTGGGTCCAAGGATGGCATCAGCATCAAATGTGGCAGCAGGCCAGGTGGGCAGGAGCCCAGCTGGCTATGGGGGGGGGCAGTCCCTTGCCCCTATCACCCTGCAAGTTCAGGAACTGAAAGCCTTAGCAACTGTCCCATCAGAGACTGCCACTAACTGGCAGCAGGCCAGCAGAACAAAGCCAGTCAAGCACAGAAGATAGGTTAACCAGATGATACAGGTCAGGGCTTTGTCCCCTCGACCCACCCAGGGCCTGTCTCACTTCAGGAACAGGGAGATTGAGGGCCCTGCTCTAAGCAGCAGGACCTTGTAGGGGCCAAGCCTTGGCTTGGCCATACCTGGCTGATGCTGTACACCGGGGACACGGTGGTGTCCAGCCCCAAGCCCGGGTAACTCCAGGCAGCACTGAAGGTGGCATGTGTCCTCGAGGAGAAGTGCAGGATCAGCTGCTGAGACTGGGTGACTGTGCTCACATTCCAGGACATGAGAGACCCTGTTTGTGGAAGTAGATCAGAGCTGGGCTACAGTGGACAGAGAAGTCAGGGATGGGCGGGGTCTGCTTCGTCACAGCAGGGTGAGGATGAAATGGGGTTTGAGCTGAGGTCACACATTGGCTTACCACTTTGATGGGGGCATTCAACATGACTGCTGTTTTCAAAGTAGAACTGAGAAATACAGGAATAGCAAGTCAACGGCACCCTGGTACCAGCCACTCCCTCTGCATGCCCCATGGTTGTACCTTAAAGCAGAGCTGGGGATGCAAGTCCACCTTCTCCCAAACATACCACTGTGAAGGTGAGGGCAGTCAGTCAGGGAGAAGGTCCCTGGTTCCCGCTCTGCCCACCTTGAGTGCGAGGGCAGGGGGCATTGTCCTTACTCCTTCTGACTCTCGAACTGTAGCATTGGGGAGGTCTTCACAGGGGCTGTGTTGGTCCTGCCTCTGGCAGAGGGAGGCCTCTAGCTTCAGTGGGCAGTGGAGTGTCAGGGCCATGACCATCTGATTGTGCTGGCTGTGGTCAGTGAAGTGCACTGACTTCCAGAGGTCAGAGGCATCTGGAAAGCAGCCAGATCAGCACAGGGGGGTGGGGCTCAGCCCTGCGCCAGCCTTATCTTGCTGCTCCCATCCCCAGGGACCCAGATGATGGGAAAGTGCCCAGGATAGCTCGTGGCCTGAACAAGTAGTCAGTAAGCGCCCCACTCCCATGTCCTTTACTGTCTTTCTACCCAGCAGTCTCCTTTCCATTCCACCAGCCCCTTGCTATGCCCCATTCCAAATCTGCATGGGCTCTTTTCAAAACCTGCAATGCCTTCCTCTTCTCCCTACCCCCTTTTTTTTTTGTTGTTTTTTTCCGGTATCAGGAATCGAACTCATGACCTTGCTCTTGCCAGTCAGGCACTGTGCCACTGAGCTAAATCCCCAGCCCCTGCCCCTCCTTCCCCTTCTCTATTCTGCCCATATCTGAGCCCCACTCCTGTGCCAGCTCCCTTGAGGGGCCTGCTCTGCTCACGAAAGCTTTGTAGGCTTCTGCCTTTCTGGAGCTCATGCCTGGCAGCCTTGTGCTTACTATCACCTGCCCCATGTGTCCTACAGGCTGCTTGGTGCCACACATCCATGTCTGGTGCACTGTCCTGGAGGACAGCAACATGTGAACTGCACTTTAGACTCACCAGTCACTTGCCTTGGAATATTTCATTCAAGCCCCACAAACAGTTTGAAAACCGGGCAGAGCAAATGTCACAGTTTTACAGATGGGGAAATGGGGCCCTGAGAGAAACAATGGCAGAGGTAGGAGGTGAGGTTGGTTCTCTGGCCCATCTACTTGGATACTACTTCCTGTGCCGTACCTTACTGACCCTATCACAGCTGCAGTGGTCAGTACTCAAAACTTGTTGGCAGGCAGTTATGGACATGCTGTCCCTTTCCCGCAGTGATGCCAGGGAATGCACCTACTTAGGACTTTTTCCAACACAGGAGTGAAGTGTGTGTGTGTGTATGTGTATGTGTGTGTGTAAGATAGAAACAGAGACAGTGAAACATAAACACAGAGAGGGCATGTGTGCACAGGAGTGCATACAAATAGTACTCACAGGCTTCAGACCAGCTCTGGAAGGGACATTTTTTGTGCCTCACAGTGTCCTCTTGCAGGTAGGCTGCCTGGGGTGGGAGAAGGGGCAGGAGAGCAGGCAGGGAGAGTCAGAGAAGGGCTTTTCCTACAGCACTCAGACCTAAAGCTTATTCTGGCTCATGCTTTACCTGGATGCAGGCTCTCTGCACTGGGAGGGCACAGAGAAGGGAAGCAAGGTGGAATGTGGGGAAGGACAGGTAGGACCTCCAGAGCATGGAGAGACTGCCAAGTGAAGGGCTAAGTCCACTTCCCCCTGGAGGGAACTCTCAGCAAGAGGGAGATCATGAGGTCCTTGTTCCTCAGTTTTGCCCTTCCCTGGCCTCCACTTCTAGCCATGCTCAAATGCTAGGGCCTGTGTTGCTCCCACTCTGGAGTGTCCACTCTGCCAGTCGCTTAATGCACCAGGTCTCTGTTGTATCCTCTCCATGGCCCCCTGCCTTTTCTAACTGGGCCAAAGCAGTCTTTCTGCTGGATACCTCAGGTGGAAGATGGGGAGGACTGCAAGAGAGGGCAGAAGGGCCAGGACTTTCGGAGTCACGTGGAACACAGTGACAGCGCCTGTTCATTCTTCATCTGTGCACTGCAGCCAGGCCTTGAGTAGGGAGAGCGGGGCTGAGTGAGGCTGGGGCTGGAATCTCCCTAAGCAGGTCATGTGTTCTGCAGGACACTTCCGCCTCTAACCATATGTGGCTACAGTCACGCTGACACTAATCTTTGTAAGCATCTCAGTGACACTCAGCCCTTTTTTCTTTTTGTACCTGGGATTGAGTCCAGGGCCTTTGTACTGAGCCCACCTCCTTTATTTTAAAAATTTTTTGTTTATTTTTTTGAGACAGGGCCTCACTATGTACTTCAGAGCCTTGAACTCACCATGTAGCCCAGGTTGGCCTTGAACTCATGGTGATCCTCCTGCCTCAGCCTCCCAGAGTGCTGGCTTTATAAGCATGTGCCACCACACCCAGCTAGTCTTTTTTTGTTTACATTTTGTGGCACTGGGGGTCAAACCTAGACCTTGTGCCTGTTAGGCAAGTACTCTTCCACTGAGCTACCCCGTAGCTCCACCTCATCTCTTTAAAACCTGACTTACTGGAAATATGTTTGACCAAGGACTCAGGGACAACCTATACATTTTCCTCCGCTCACCTCTATGCATAGACAGGGCAGAAGGAATTCATAAGGCAGGTCTGAAGTGCAACCCCCAGCCACAGTTTTCTGTTGATGAAGCAACAAAGGGAGAGAAAAAGACATGTGAGACAGGGAAGGGCACTATGGACAAGGGCAGGAAGACATGGATGCTGGCCCACACAGTCTGTTTTTAATTCTATGGGACTTTTTTCTTCCATTGAGAATCTCCTCTCACAATGTCTCTGCTTTGCACACAGCCCTTCTGCTGAGGTGCTCTGTGTGGAGTGGGGGGTGAAGGAGACACTGAAAGAGGTATGTGTTTACTACACTCCGACTCTCCATCTGCAGGGTGTTAGAAGCATTAACTCATCTTGGTGAAGTTGTGAGTGGCCATCACCAAGGTAAAAATGAAGAGAGCTGAGGGCCTCTGGGGTACAGCACCAGTCTCCAGCGATGCACCCATTGTATATAGTGGCATTTATAACAACTGGAAGCTGAGGGGGATTTGGGGCCCGAGTCAGGAGATCAGGGACTATTTTATTCTCTGAGGCGCAGAACAAAGTGTAGGAGAGGGAAGGTGCCCAAACATGCATTTGAGTACTGTGTTCTGTTCGCAGGGGACCCACCTGTGGGAGAGCTGAAAGCTGACTCCCACTAAGGAGCCTCTCCTTGAGGGAACTCACCACTCCTTGTTCCTCTGGGACACTGCCTGCCCCTCTCCTTCCTCTCCTCCCAAATGACAGGACCCTTTTCTTTCCTGTCTATGGTGAGAAGCCTTCATGCCAGACTCCTCATCTGACAGAGTCCTGAACAGTTACTTTCCCTCATGGGTGTCCCCATGGGCTTCAGCAGTGAGCTGGCTCTTTACAGGAGTGACACTCCGTACCTGGGCATCAAAGGGACTGCTCAGCTCTTCACACTCGAGTGCCCATTGATGACAGAGACGTACACTGACCTCTGGGCCTGGAGGAATGGTCACCCGAATAGCCCGGGCCTCAGGCAGCAACTCAAAGGTGAACTCAGGTCCTGTGGAGGTGTGGACACTGGCCTTAGTACATATAGCACTACTCAGCTGAAGCCATCTCCTGTCACATCTCATGCCCACCTCCACGCCTCGGTGAGCCCACTGCCCCTGGATCTGAAGGCTGGGTCCTTCTGTAGCGTAGCCTCTTATGGGAGATGGAAATTGGGAGCCCCTTCTCAGACAGAACACTGCTGCTTAGCAGCTTCCTCTGTAAGCAGAGAACAAGATTGGCTTTAGGCCAGGAATCAGGAATCTGGCTTCTATTTCTACCTCTAGAACCTGAGGAACCACAGAGAAGTTGTTCAACCCCTTCTGGCTTCAGTTTCCTTTACTGTGTAACCCCTACATGTTCAACCTCCTCGCACCTCTGGAGAACAAAATGTGAGGCTGAAAATAAAAGGACTAAGAGACATAGGGTAGGACTAGCATGAATAGGGAGAGTACCTGAGGAGATGCTGGCATCCTGTGTCCCTGGCAGAACTTGAACTTGTAAGACTTTTTGGATCTCAGCACCAGGAGGTGGAACCAGCCCCACTGATGGCCTGTGTAGAGAGGAACACTTAGCGTTTTGCTCCTCATGGCCCCTCCCTTGCCTGAGGATGTGGCCTAATGTTGGGTAGAAAGTCTTTTTGGGTTTTTTAATTTTTTTAATTTTTTAATTTTTTTATTTTTGAGACAAGATCGCGTTATGCAGTTCAGGCTGGCCTTGAGCTCACTTTGTAGCCCAGGCTGGCCTCGAACTCGCAATAATCCTCCTGCCTCAGCCTCCCGAGTGCTGGGATTACAGGCATGTGCCACCATGCCCAGCTGTCTTTTTGTTTTTTTTGGCACCAGGAATCAAACTCAGGACCTCATGCTTGCCAAGCCCTTGTGCTTGCCAGGCAGGTGCTGTGCCACTGAGCTATATCCCCGGCCCTAGAAAGTCATTTTATATCAAAGACAGTATGATGTCAAGCAAACTGAGTCCTGAAAATTATGATGCAATTAAAAAGAATTAATATTTTAAACAGAGGTCAGGGATAGACCTCAGTGGCACAGCACCTGCCTGGCAAGTATGAGGTCCTGAGTTTGATTCCCAGTACAAAAAAAAAAAACTTAAAGCAGAGAAAAAGTTATATGTATTTATGCAAAGGTATTCATTATTTCTAATAGTAAAAATTTAGAAACTGCTAATTCTTAAGCAGTATGTGGGCATTTAGTATGGCAGGGAAGGCAATGAAAATAAGACTTGAATAAGAAAAAATATCCGGGGGCTGGGGATTTAGCTCAGTGGCAAAGCGCCTGCCTGGCAAGCGCAAGGTCGTGAGTTCGGTTCCCGGTACTGGAGAAAAATAAAAAAAAGAAAAAATATCCTACTTTTCAAATACAAGTAATAAAAATAAGTTCATAAAAACCAAAACATTTAAGAATGAGTACCACTGAAAAGATTAACACCATCACAGTGCCATACAGCTGTGCCCAGACCAGTCTCGGTGTGCTCTTTTAGGATGCTCCAACTCCCTGCTGAGGTTGACAGTAGGACATAAATCTTTCCTAATTCACACCTCCACTGAGCATGGCCTGAAGGCCTGTTTTTCATAGCTGAAGGACCTGACACTAGATGCAGCCACAAACAGCAGGGCCAGTGCCAGACCAAGCATGCCAATGCTTTGTGGGACGAGGAAGACTGGTATGAGAGGGAATATGGGCACAACTTCCTGTGTGAAATGGAAAGGAAATAAGAGTCTAAGGTGATCCCTCTTCCCTCGGAACGATTGAATTTGAGGCTGAGCTCTGACCCATCCGAGAGGTGACAGGTTATAGAACCTGTCTGAGTATCAGGTTCTTCACTCACAAAGTAGGGCTACTGTGAGGGGCAAATAAGATAACGTGCCAGGAAATGCCTGGTAAGGCACAATTTTACCAGAAGAATGTAAAATATGAAGAATTATTGTTGTACTAGGGGCCAGTGAAAGGAAGGAATGAACTTATATACTGAGTGCCTGGAGATTTGCCTGCATCCCTCAATTAATCCTCCCCACAGATCAGAAGCAACACTGGTTTCATGGTACTGTCAGTCCTCCATTGCCCCACTCCTCAGAAGCTGAGGGTTGGGTGGATGGAAAAATATATTCTCTGAAGCTGCTTATGTATCTGGGGCAGAACTGCAGCGCAAATCCAGGCTTGTCATGCACTTTTTTATTGACACTGTGCTACTTCCCACACTGCGAACCAGAAGTTACAAAGGAGAGCTCGCTGGGGAAGAAGAAGGAACAAGAGAAGTGAAGGGAGGGTAGAGTAGGCCAGGAAGTAAGACTCACCAGCAAACCTCTCATCCTGCAGGCAAGGGGTCCAGGAGGGAAAAGAGAAGAGTTATTATTAGGACTCTGATATGCTTCAAAGCATCCAATTCCGAGGCCCAAGCTAATAGCTATGTGCTGCTGCCCTTTTCTTCCCAGTTCCACGCTGCCCAGGCCCTCAGCACACCACGACTTTTCCAATCCATCCAAGACACTGTAGAGGACACACTGAGGCTGCCATCAGAGCACAGGGAACAGGGAGGCAGGGAAGGGCAGGCAAAGGAATGGGACACTTTTGGCCCGTGCCAAGCAGGTGTCCCATCCAGCAGAGGCACCTTACCTTGTGAGAGGCCAGTAGACAGCGGGTGATCCTGTGAGGCAGATAGCCACAGCCAATATCAGCAGAGGGAGAGAGGCCAGTGGGCAGCAGGAGGACAGCCAGGAGTAAGGCTGCCAGTCTGGGGCTCCCCATGGGCTTCTGTGGGATCAGGGCACCCAGAGCATGGCTTTGTGGTCTGAAAGTGAGCAACAGGCCTTGCCGTGCAGCTGCTGGGAGCACAGTGCCAGACAGAAGCCCTGGCTTTATCCCGCCCCGGCCCCGCCCTACCCCAAAGCTCCTCCTCAACCCTAACCAGCAGGCCTGGCCACATTCCTTCTCCAAGCAGACAAACTAAGGAATGGAGGGGCCAACCACAGATGGATAGATGCACCTTGTTCCCTAGAAAACCCTACTGCTCCCACCTGAAAGACGAGGGGGCTTGGTACGGCACAGAAGTAACAGGAAAGGGCCTGGCACCAGTTTGGGGGGTGGTGTACCCATTTTTTAACCAAAACACCCTGCAGATCTGACCCGCCCATTAACATGCTCTGAAATTTGAGTTTCCTCTAAAGACACTGCTTCATCCCCTCACTTAAAGAGTTAACAGAGCTAGTAAGCACTGCATTGCCCTGGGTGCTGAAGATGCAGAGGTGACTGACACATCATTTAATGTTGTGCCCAAAGAAAAATGCACCACAGGGTGCAAATAAACCTCTCATGACCCTAAAAGTACCCTTGCTCCCCCACCTGGCTGATTTCAGGACTATAACCCAGCTTTCTCTCTGTACACAAAGCCTGATCCAGCTCTTGGGGGCAAAAGGCTCCATGCCAAAGGGGTTCATAGCTTCAAGGACCTACTAATCAGACAGCAAGGTCAGGAAGACCAAGCCACAGCGAGTGCTGGAGCAGAGGGAGTGTCCCCACGCACTGACCTCGTTTCCTGTGGTTTCCGGTGCAGGAGAAGGCTGATGAGGCTCCAGCCTGTGGGGGGACCCTCCCCATCATCCCACAGCTTCCTTCCCCATGGAGTACTTGAGCAGCTTCAGCCCTCACCTTGCTGACACCCACAGTGGAAGGAAAGATGGGCGCCCTGCCAGGTTGAGGCCTCCATATGTTGTTATTGTGCCTCTACGACTCAGTCCTGCTCACCTTTCAGTAACCTGACCACAGCCTGCTTTCGGCCACTTCCATTCCTAAATCCTCAGGTCCTTTCTCTGAAGGCCCCATCCTACCATTATCCTAAAAATATTCTCCAGCTTTTTCGTTCATTAAGAGGTATATTTCTTAGTCTTTACTTTTCTCTAATGCTTGGTAGTGGGAGTCCTGACACAGATGCTCTGCAGTTGAATAAATGTAGACTATGATACATTTCATCTAAATACTTTGCCCCTTTCACATTTCTCAGAACACTTTCATATTAGATCCTTCTAACTACCTTATGAGACAGGTGAGAATGACTGTTTTCATAAAGACAAAAACAAGGAAGCAGGAGGGAAAGTGATTTGGTCAAGGTCAAAGTCTGTAGCCCAGGAAGTTGCACTTTTGCGGGGCCCTCGCAACCCAAGGCTTTGTCACCCCAAGCTCATCCTTCCCAGGGCTGCGTCTTCCTGTGCTCACAGAACCAACAAGGGTCCCCCTTTTAGCCTTGGAGCCCATCTCTGCAAACAAATCAGTAGGATCTGAAGAGAGGAAAAGGTGGTCTGTCCACACTAACAATGGGTTAGGAAGCCTTCTTTCAAATTCTACCTAACTTGGGCCAGGGATATAGTTCAGTGGCA